TTTGAAAAAGTCTAATTTCATCTATGCAATAGAAGATTCTAAATGAATATTTCTTATTATTTTAGTTTGAAAAAAGATTGATAAACTATGTGTATGCATGGTATGAAGAAAAATTGAATGCTCTCACAAAGAACTACTATTATAATTTCTTTTTCATAAATGAGATTCTAGAGAAGTTTGGTAGTGCCATATCTTCTAAAGTTTCTAGTTTTTATTCCTTTATGTATTTTTTAATGTTTTACTTAAATTTTTATTATGCTTGTTGGAATTTAAGAAATTTAGTTTGTAGTGTGTGGATATCTTTTGTTATCATCTTTCATGAATAATGAGGTAAATTTTGGATGTTAAAGCCTTAAATAAGTTGAATTGTTCTTGTATAAATTATTATACTTCTAGAGCACATAATGTTATTCTTGTAACCTAAATCAAGATAGAGTATAATCCAAGTGAATCTCATAATTAAAATCATGGTACTAATTTTTGGACATAAACATTAGTATAGCACTTTATACTTTGAAGATCTATAAAGTCATTAGATGTTGAGAGGTTCAGCTCATCAAATTCCAAGACAAGAAGAAGTAGAATTAAGAAGATAAAGGTTGTCACATTGAATTTCTTTGATAATTACTTGCATTGTATCAATCAAGCATTTATATGTCATCATGGAGATCAAAAGCGATTTGGGAGTTTATCTAGAATCCGTGGAAGTCACAATCAAGATTTAATTGGTGAGTAAGATCAATATTAGGAATTTTTGTCTACATTGAATACTTTAGAAATTGCTATGCAATCGTAACTTTTTCTTCTTGATTCTAACAGCTTCATAGGTTTTAGAAAAGTATAAAGATGAAGCTAAAGGTGTCTTAGAGGTTGGCTGATAGCATTAAGTGTTGATGGAACAAGTTGCATTGATTCAACACCTAGTGAGCAGACCCTTTATGCATTCTAAGGGTCACTAACTCAGTGTTATATGCATTGATAACAACACTCACAAAGTACTAGAATTAGTAGAGGAAAGAATAAAAAGATTTTGTGATTGCATATGGAGTATAGTATACTTGAAGTCATGAATTTGACCTTGAACATGAATTGGATAAGAAATCATGATAAAATTATTATTTTTTATATTACTTTATTCTAAGTTAGATCTAAAATATACTTGATATGCCAAATAATCAAGTTAATTTATGTTTTTTATTAAATTATTAATATCTGAGTCAATTTTACAATTTGTCCAAGAAAGCTGATTAAGTTAACTTAGCATTAGGTAGCTTGAGAATGAAGATTAATCAAATATTATTCACTTGCTTAGATAAGCAAGAATTGTTTAAAAGTATACACAATCTATCATTAGTAAAATGTAGGTCAATTCATTATACAAGTGAGATAGAACAAATAAGAAGAGTTTGCGGTAGAGCAAGTAACATACCATCTTCTTATAGTTACTTCATGATCTAAACTCGACCATTTTTTTTAATAGAGTTAAAAATAAGTTTAATAAAAAATTTAATAAAGCTGCTTCTTTAGGATAAGTTTAACTCCAATACTTACTCCCTAGAAAAAACGTTCAGCAAATTATAGTTTTCATCAAGCTCCACGACATGTTGAACTCCATCTTGCTCTATTCTTTTGTTCGTGTTTGAGGTAAAGAAAATCTATGCTTCATAATGATTTGACGTGGTTGAACTACTAGCTAGATTGTTTAATCTTCAATCTATGTAGAGCTTATGCCATAGCTTTGTAAATTAACAAGTGCTTGATGTCTAGCATTGGTTAGCATGTTCAACCTTTGGGCTTTCATGGCAGTACTTAAACTAGACTTTTAGACCAAAAAAACATTACATCTCGTTTTATTTCATTGTCTAGTCAATGTCTTGATGCTTGTTTGTGTGATGAATCAAGTTTTGGTTTGAGGTTTCTACTTGGTTTGCTTTGTAATTAAGCTTTCATCTTTCATCTTTCTTTTTATTTATCAATTTATGAAACATTAATTTTATTCATGTGATGTTCTTTAGTGGATGCTATTTGTGTAATTTTAAGCGCTATCAAGCTTTGTGATAAAAATCTGAAGGTTTTACTAAGTTTTGATTGCCTTAGTAGATTCAAGTCATTGAGTTGAAATGAATGAGTAGGAGATGTAATAGTCAATTGCAAAATAGAAGAATGCAACACCAAAAGCATACATCAATGAAATAAAAACCTCAATTTAAGGGAATTGTTAAATACACCACACTTTTTTATTAAATACACCACACACCGCACACCACATCACACCTATCTTGCCCCCTCCCCCGTCATCATACTTCTCCCTCCCTCACAGCATCTATACCTCCGCACTTATGGCCTTGATGCGGCCGACTGATCTTGCCGCCTCGTAAAGCTCTGAGAAAGCGGACCCTCATTGTCGCCGTACCCTTTTCCATCCCACAGTTCCCTACCTCCACTCCTTGGAAGGGCATCTCAAAGTTCACCACCCTCGCCCGGTGGTGTGCGGTGCGGTGTGTGATCTATTTAGTAAAAAGTGTGGTGTATTTAACAATTCCCCAATTTAAGCACTCAGCTATTAAGTTTGATTCTACAACAATACTAACATCCTTTTCAAAGCTTGACTGAGATTGCAAATCATGAGTGATGTAGTTTTGTAGTTGAGTATAGTGACTATAACCAAACTACTAACTGCTTCTTAAGATTAATGCATAACTACTTTCATCACAAAATAAAAAAATTTTGTTGTAAGAATGATCCTAGGTAGTTTATATAATTTTCAACTCATTTTTCAAATTTTCATGAATATGGTGTTCAAAGCTTTTATTGAAAAGTTTTGTGCAAAATTTTATAAATAATTTTTGTGTGTTTAGGAGAAAGTAAGCTCTTGATCGTTTGATAATAATACTATAGCATTTAAATGAAGTCAGAGTTTCATTCAATTTAAAAAAAATCATTTATGGAAAAAAATCATGTTTTATGTTGAGACACATCATTTTCAAAAGTAGTAACAATAGATCAAAAAAGATGAAACAAGTTATTGAGTTACTTTTTTATCTCATTGACCAAGTTGAATCAATTTTTTTTTGGATATTGTGGAATACTATCAAAGTATCACATCATTTTTTTCCAACAAAATTCATGCTCTGATAACCTACATGAAAAAACGTAAATAGTACGAGTTCATCTTTAAAAATGAACAAATAATGGTGGCATTTGATATACTGAAGTAAACATTGATGACAATTTTTATTTTGTTGGCAAAATTAAATAAAGTGCATCTTTCTTTATTTATACAAATGCATTGAATGTTGTTGGAGTATGCAATTTGAATCCAATAAATGATGAAAAGCATGAACATAAGATATTTATCTCTTTTCATGTTAGTAAATAGATGATGCAATGTTGTGAAATCAACTTTTGAACAAAATTTAGATCAGAATTGAAAAATATATTCAATCAAAATCAAAATATACTAGTATGGAGAAGATTACTTTAACAAAAACTTAAATTAAAATCAAAAGTCAAGAAAAAAAATTTAATTCATGAAAATAAGAGCAAAATACAAATTCGTGTTCATGAGAGTGAGAAATAATGTCTCGATACTCTTCATTTATTTAGTAATACGATTACGCTGTGATGCTTGTTTTTCAAGGGGACTTGAATCTCAAGTTGACTTGTCTTACATTCTAAGTCATCTAAAAGAGGTGACTTCGTCGGCAAGGCAGCGTCACCGCCATTTGAAATTTGCTAAGGAAGTTTATCCCAAAGTTGTTGAAAAAAGTTCTTTCAAGCACAATACTAGGTCTTGAGGTTGGTTGTGTACATCAAGTTTGTTACATGCCAAAAAAAGAAATAATCAATTACAAAAAAAGTATTTAGCTACAATCTTTTCACTTCAAAAGTTTTAACACTAATTGATGGATAGAATATTCCTGATTGTAACTTATTATAAAATTTTGAATACAATTTTACCCAGCTTAATTATGATGTAAGTATAGCTAGATGAAATTTACTTGTAGAAAAGTTTAATTAATCATCAAAAATTGATCCTACAATAAGCATGTTAATGTTGATTTTATATCTTGATTATACGAAAGTAAATGAAATCAATCGGTGGATGATACGTATTCGAATGAAACTTTATCAATCACGTACATTGATGTTAGGGTTTAAAAAAATTACAAGGAGATTTGGAAGTTAATTCTTACAAGAAAGGTTTTTCAATACATTCATTCAAGCTAAAGAAATGCATAGTTAATATTGCATGATGTCAATCATGCATGATTATGGAAAAAGTATTGTTTCATTAAACAATAAACATATTAATAAAGATATGAATTTGAGAAAGAAGAATCACTACAAACTAAGAAAGATTTTCACAAATTTTTGGCTTTGCATGGAAGTTGATTGATTTCAAAAGTCTTGATACTCTTTATTATTTGAATTTTTTTTTAAAAATTGAATAGAATTTTGCAAGAATTGCAAGACAAATTACCATAATAGACCATGAAGATTCATGAGATTTTACTTTCTACAATATATTGTAGATCATCTTTTGGGAAATGTGTATTTAATCAACATGAAAGATTTAGCAATGTAATACAAAGATAGTTTGTACTATATTTATATATATATAGAAAAAAATACATGCTTACCGTTAACCACATATTTGATTCATATTTTTAGATTTTGATGGAATCTTCCGTACATTAAATTAAATTTCTTGATTTATCTCATTTGAGTATGTTTTATAAAGGACAAACTTGTATTAAACATCATGGAAATTCTCACTCTCACATTTAATTCTTAAAACACATGAGAGAAAAATGTTCCTGCACTATTGAAATGCTGTTATTGCCACCACAGCATTGCATCATAAGTGTTTGTTGCTTACCATGATAAGATAGTAACATTTGGTATTGCATCTATAGAGGTAACATTTACAACGGTGCGAACTTCCATAGGTATTCGAATATATTCCAATGATTTCTTCTTGTCGCCACGAAGAACTGTAAGAGGTGTTCTATGTCCTGAACCGCAGTTAGTTCGTAGCTTCGGTCTGGGTGAGACGTAACCCTAGAACATAGGGAATGCTGGATTGTCTGTCTTCACTTCATTCACGTTTCTGTGGACAACACATCTGTCATACAACTCGTTGATCGATCCAGAGCACGTTCCTCGTCGATCTTGCAATTTGTGTCTTGCAGTCATGGGAGACAGTCAGTATTCTTTCTCGCTCACTACATTCAGGTCAGGCTTACTTGTTTTGAAGTCAAAAGACATGTAGTTTCTGGCAGAAACAATGAAGTTCTCGAATTTTGCGTTTTCTTCGATCGGAAGCGTTCATTCATGAGTTATTTAGCTCTCAATCGGAGGTCATCTATCCAAATAAATCGAACGCCACATAGCAACTGTAAATTTGTTGGTCACGAAATTTTAGCGATCATGGTGAGTAAGTTTTAGCGATCGTGATGAGTAGAGCTCATCTCTGACTGAAGAAAACCCTCGAATTTTTGGGTTGCAGCCCATCAGGAAAGCTTGTGCAGATTGAGTATGCACTCATGGCAGTTGGCGCCGGACAGACCTCCCTCGGGATCAAAGGTACTTGAAAAACCGAGTCGCTTTGAACTCTGATCGTTGTAGATTAGGGTAGAAAATTGTTGAGGTTCATTAACGCATCCTTTCTTCCTTTATCTAGCCACGAATGGAGTCGTAATTGCGACGGAGAAGAAGTTGCCGTCTATTCTTGTCGATGAGACGTCGGTAAGCCCTGCCCTGTCAATCTTTTTAACTTGTTTAAATCAGCGGCATTTACTAAACGGCTGACTTCTCATGAAATAACGCAATGAATTCTTCAAAGCTATGATCGTCCTACTGGGCTAGGATTTCTCAAATTTCGTCATTGTTCGAAATTTCAGGTGCACAAAATCCAAAAGTTAACCCCGAACATAGGAGTTGTTCACAGGTGAGACTCTCGGGAGTTGAACTCTATTCTTTAGCTCGTACTGTTGAAGAAGGAACGAAATTTGCTTGTATTGCAGGAGAAGACTTTTTTAAATTTCAGTTATTCAGTTAGCCTACTGAGCACCGACTAAACGATCATAAGATCACACACGAGCATCTTCTTCTACTTTGTTCTGTATCTCGTCAAACTTCGAGACCATCTCACAATGGAAACCGTCATCAGGAAAGAAACTTCCTGGGATTGTAGTTAACAGCAAGAGTGAAGGTCAGGAGCGTTATGCGGTTGATTTCTTTATAATTATCTGGTTATGTCAATTTTGTAGCGGGATGGGTCCCGATTCGCGAGTGCTTATCAGGAAAAGCCGAAAGCAAGCACAACAATATCATAGACTTTATCAGGTGAGAGCACGTGACGCAGTCTTGTAGTACATTCTGGTGATCGGGTGTCTATAGCCTCTTCTTATACTCCCTCAAGGTTGCCTCTTGTGTGTGATTTTCTAGTTTTTCCTTTCTTTGCACGTGGAGGTCCTCATTGTATCTTTAGAGTGCCATATACAATAATGGTTTGAGGATCATCCCGAGATGCCCTTGAGGATGAAAATTGGCAGATCATTAATCATTAACGTGTTGGTACTGACCATGGATGGAGTTGTCTTTTGCCTTCTTGTCACAGGAAGTGATTCCTTTGTCTCAACTGGTCAGAGAAACAGCGGCTGTGATGCAAGAATTTACACAGTCTGGGTAGGTTCACGCGGCTGAATTATCGTGGAATTTTCGAATGGGGATCATTTCTGTACCTTTCCTCCACTGAAATATCCATGCATCACTTTGCAAGTTTCCACGTAATACCCCATAAGCGAAACTTCGATTTTAAATAATAAACACTTTTTGGGATTTAATTGCCTTCAGACTGTGTATCAGTTCTAGGGATGCGTGTGTATTTTAGTGCAGAATTCTTTCGTTTTTTATAGTGACGGTATTCTTTTCGTTTGCTATTAGGATCTGACTTAGACTTTAATCGTTATTGGGTTGCTGCAGAGGAGTTAGACCTTTTGGTGTGTCACTTTTGGTGGCTGGTTATGACGACAATGGTCCTCAACTTTACCAGGTAATCTGAAGCATCAGGTTCTTGGCTGGAAAGAAAGTCATGTGAATCATGTGATTTTGAGTTTTCTAAATGGTTGGTTGTTAATATGCGTTGGGACCTTATAAGTGACCTTACTCGCTACTCCATGTCTTGAGCATTGATGTCTTAATAATTATTCCTTGAAGGTTGTTGATAGTTCCTGGACTTCCGTATAGACTAGCGGATGAGGATAACTCCTTTACCTGCTTGCATAGGACTTTCTTTTGAACTAGGCAGTATAGTTGCCATGCGAAAATAAGAATCTCTCGCCGATTTCGACAATCCGTACTCTCAGTTCTCGTTGTGCCTCCTTGTGCGATAATGTAGTATGTTATCGGCGCGAGTCTGTCAATGCAGCCTGGGAAGGCGATGGTTCTGCTGAAGAGTGTTTGACTCGAGGATGAAATTATAGTTTTTTATTCTTGAGGAAGTTGGATTAACGTTCAGAGATCATCATTGGTTCCTTACCTGGTTAGTTTTCCCTTTTGCGTGAGCAGGTGGATCCTTCAGGTTCTTACTTTTCGTGGAAGGCATCTGCAATTGGAAAGAATGTTTCTAACGCGAAAACGTTTCTAGAGAAGAGGTTGGTGAACTGATGAATGGCTACTGAAATAGTAATGACTACGTTCTTAACGATTTTTTTCGCTGAATTTATTTCTGCGCACCATATGATATTGCGCACACATCACCTGCACATCAGATGTGTGCCTCGTTTTTGGTGCCTCATTTTGAGGCCCTCTTGATGTAGCTATTTGGTTACAGGGGGCTTGGCAGAATCAGGATTGCTACTGGCAATATTGAACACCAATCCACCTTGGACTTTAGGACCTGCTTGACCTGTGTAAATGACGTTCTGCTTTAGTGATTGTCATGACACCTTGCACTTCATAGCCAGTATGAAAAAACATCCAGGAGACATTGACTGCCTACCGTCATTAACATATGTGAGCTACCTGCCTCAGATACACTGATGACATGGAGCTAGAGGATGCAGTTCATACCGCGATTCTTACTCTCAAAGAAGGGTAAGCTGTCAAGTTTTTTTCTGTGTCTTCCCTATTCTAATTTTTTTTCTTGCATTTTACGGATCAACGCCATGCTAACGCAATCGGACTTGTTGTCCGGAACTGTACTTGTTTACAGCTTTGAGGGTCAAATATCAGGAAAGAACATCGAAATCGGAATAGTGGGTGCTGATCGTGTTTTCAAGTACGTAAATTTCTACAATAGCTAAGATCTAATGCTTTTTCAATTTTCTGTTATCCCTTTGTTTTGTGTGACTGTGGGAACACGAGGTGCATAAGAAAAGTAAGATGACTTCTATTAAAACTTTGGTTGATGCATTGCAGAGTTCTAACCCCAGCCGAGGTAGACGATTACCTAGCGGAGGTGGAGTAAAATGCTGTGTCCGGAGGCGCGCCATATACTTTTGTCCACAAGAATCTAATGACGGGAAATGTTGTGGGCCTTTTACTTCTGGAATGCCAAATAGAATCAAAGGTTCAAGTTTCCTGCAGGATTGAAGACATACAGATTGTTAGGTTGTTCGACCGCAACTGTTATACGCAGGAACCTCTCTGAAGGAATTCATGGAGCATAGTATATACCTTGTGAGACGAGTGCAGTGCCGACTTGCACTGCTCTCGTCAAATAGGCCAGAACGCAGTGAAGCAAACGACAGCTTCAAGTTTTGCAAATTCTGGAAATCTGTGCTGTCATACTCTTCGCTTTGACATTTTCAAGTTGTGTATACTCCAGTGAACAGGTATTTCGACCAGCAGGAGATATTGTACATTTTTCAAGAAATGGGTTGAGCTTTATCCAGGTCATGACAGGTCGACATCAATGTGAGATTTGAATTACTGTGTCGAGTGATTGTACTGAAGTTGCTCGAGCAAGCTAGGATTCTAGATTCCAAAATGGTTAGACTGGCAGAAAGTCTCGTTGTTACAAAGTCGGGTTGACAACAAAAAAGGTCCTGTTCCAGTCGAAAATATGGATAAGACTATGGGTCCTCCAATCAATGATTAGTTACAGCAGGGATGTGTTGGTACTGTGTACCAACACATCCCAAATTTCGACAATACGTAACACGTCAAAGCTCAAACAGATGTTCAATCTAGCGAGAGATATCAAGTTCTGAAACCACCGACAAGAGGCCACATCCTTTTGACTGTTGCCGTACCGTTGAGTAGGCAATTCTGGGATCCTGAAATGTAACCTCTTATGCACAACAAATAAAGCACAGAATGATGTACCAAAGAAATTGACATTTAATTTGGAGGAATTATGCTACTTCTACCCACAAGTTACTAAATAGGAGGGTATCATTTTTTATCTCATCATAATTTATTCTTCAAAACTCAACGCTGTTTTATAGAAGTTAAACTAAACAGTAGTGGCAAACTATACAATCTAATCTAAACTACATATTGCGTAAGAAAGTGTTAATACTGGAGTATATCTGTTAAATTTTTTTTCTTTCATTTATATTGAAGCACAAACAGTTTACTGATCATAGTCAGTTTAAAGTAAGTGATTAAACAATTTATTCTCCAATACATTGGAGGTTGGAAACAAGTTAATTCATAAGTCTAAGAGTTTTTTTTTTAATTATATTATTTATGTGAAACTTCATATTGTATGCGATTCTAAAACTTTAAAATTTAATGTAAATAAATATTTTCTTTATGAGACAAATCATTGAAATATGAAAAACTTTGAAAGTTTTCTTGAACTAACAAGACCAAATTTTCACTCTCAAATGTTACTGAAATGAAGACTGATTATTGTAGATTTAATCATGAATTATAACATATGAAGAGTACTACTGGAAAACAAAGATGGGAGGAGATCATTAGACAAAACAATGAACAATATTCATCATTATTCATCAGTTTTGATACTATTCTAGTTATGAACAAGATATATAAGAGATGTAACATAAAATCTTAGATGACTTAAGATTATTTAAATTTATGATTTTTTTGGATAAGATACATGACAATGTCAAATACTTTGTAACCTAAGTTGATTGTAACTATGAAAAAGTAAGAAAAAAATCCTTTGGAAATATTTTTTAGTAGATTTATTAGTTGAAGATCTATTTTGCATAATTACAAAGTTGATCAATTCAAGCCTAATATGTAAATAGCAAAAGCAATAAAAGAAAATGGATTGGTTGGATAAACGTAACATTTGTGTAGCACTAGCTTCAAGTTCTTCTTCTATTAAAAAGATTAACAATTAGAAGAATTGAAGAGCATAAATATCTAGGCATTGATTTTGATAATGATTACATTTGAGCACTTTGAGTGTGAAAGAGAATAGAAGATGCTTACTATGTTAAAGTAGTTTTTCATATTTTGTTCAAAAAGACTAAGTTTGAGAAGTAGAAGTCTAGTAATTTCAAGCTTTTTGAATTGGAATAAACAGAAGTAGAGTAAATATTGGATTTTGGAAAAGACGCTAAGTAGGAGTAGTGGATAGACAGTATCTCAATAGGTAGAGCTTGGCGTGCTCGTTCCAATGAGCCCAAGAAAACTGGAAACTAGTAAGGGAATCCTGAGTTACAAAGGTATGTAGTGGAGTACATGGTTCGACGAAAGTTACAGTACCGCCTTCGGCGAAGAGTCTTCGGACTTCAACGATAGCTCCTTTGGCGTTACAACCGAAGAACCTTCAACGAAGGGTCTTCGACGAAGTGAAAGTCGGCGTCAAACGGGAAGGAAATTCAAACACTTATACCGTCAATTCGCACAAGTTTACGATCCAGTTAGGGTGTCGAATTACATTGGCAGAAATGAGAATCCAGTGCCAACCATCCGCGAGAGTGCATTTGCGAATTGGGAGCTTAGTGAGATCCGTGAGTGAAAAATTGAAAGTGCAGCAATGAGGAAATCTTCGGGACTTCGCTTTTCAACGTTGAAGGTGCCGGAATTTGGGTTGATAGAATATCGTAATGAGCTCGTAGCTGCCAAGCTCGATTTATTGTTGTGGGGATGAAATTGGATTTGCGCGGCAATGGTGCAACAGTGGCACGAAGGACTCGTGTCAGATGTTGAGGGACTTCGTGACAACCCAGCAATATGACCATTGAGGATTGGGCAAAAGTCTTGGAACAGTGCGCATGAGAAGATGGTGATTACACCTTCGACAACGAGAGTGTGAAGGTGATTCGTGCGGAAGAAAAGACTTTTGCGTAGCAGTTCAAGAAATCTCGTTCGCGCAAGAACGAGTATCAGACAACATAATACTATGATTTGATGGGCATGAATGTAGCATTGGCCTTGATGCAGATTCTTCGACCTTCGCCAACGACTTACATGACGACATGGCAAATTGGATTTGTGGAGCGTGCGGTGGCAGGGAAACCGATCCACTAGACACGCATTCTATGGGGCACTACATGCCAAAACATCAGCGAGGTATCTGGGGGATCAGTGAACTACCTGTCCCCGTTCTTCATCAACTTCTACCGAGGTATGATGTTATTGACTATATCCGAACAGAAAAAATTTGCGCTCGAGAGAGAGATTGCAGCTGATGAAGTGGCACTGGGAGGCAATGAAATTGCCAACGAGGAGGACGACATTGCACTTGCATTGACTTTGGCCGAAGTCAAAAAATTGAAGGATGAAATCAAGGAACGTCCGAAGAAGAGCAAGATATTGCAACAAGTCACGACTTCGGAGCTAATTGATCAGCGTGTAGAGTTGAGTGTTCAAAGATCGGTCCCTACGAAGATGAGATCAAGGAATGTGTCTGCTCGTAGCAAGATGAAGGCACGACGTCGGCGAATTGAGAAAGAAGGTAGCACGGACTGAAGCGAAGTCGCGTCTTAGGGCCGGATAAGTTTGGAGTAATGGATAGAGATAGAAATGGAAGTAGCAGAAACAGATTACAAATGCATGCTTCGCTTTCAACAAAGTACCTTCGGCCTTCGGAGTGGAGACCTTCGGCGGTGTCCATGGATCAAAGTCGGAGAAAGAAGAAGACCGAGGAGATGATACGGAGGTAGAGAATTTGAGTCAGAGTCTTCGATCTTCGGAGCAACCACCCGTGCGTTTGGTAGAGGATTAGCAACCTTTGGGTAAGGAGTCTTTGGAGTTACCTGCAAAGTTAGCCGAGATGGCGGTGGAGCCCAATTCGGTGGAGGAACTTACACATAGAGTGGTGATAGACGTGGAGAGTATTGTTGCGAAACAACATACAATGCCTTTGGGTACTGTCGACTTGGATTGTGGCGATGGACCTTCGACTGAAGAACCCAAGTCAACCAGACTTAGTGCAGCAGACGTGTTGAGCGAGCGAGTGGTTTCCTTGATCAAATATTTAGATGGGAAGATGGCGAAGTACGCCGAGCCAACATTAACGGATCATACGTAGAGTTAGTGCGTAGTAGGACGTGGACAAAGATGACAACATCTGTGAAGATGGATGAAAGAGTGGCGAGCTTGACTTCTAACTGCGCGACCGTGAAGGCTACCTTGCAGAAGCGGGAGAAACGAAGTCGGCAAAAGAAGTTAGAGTGTGTCGAACTTCAGAAGAGGTTAGCAGCGAAGAAAAACCTTCATGCGAAGGCGGAGCTCGAGTAAGTGGACATTCAAGTCGACATCAACAATGCTTAAAAGGTAACGGTGGAGCTTCGAGACAAGATGGAATTGTTCCGAAAAAAATTCGAGAGAGAATTGAAGCGCGCGGAGGAGCTGACAACAACTTTGGCGACGCACAATCAATTGCACGTTGTTGCATTGTCGTTGAAGGCAAAGGAGTTGGAGGATTGCAAAGCTGCTTGATCTTTGGAGTTAGAGCGTAGGGAGAAATAAGATGCAGATTGTAGCGAATTGCAGTCTCAATTGTCAACAGTTGAAAAACAATTGATCGCAACCAAAGCGAAATTGCTCGATACGGAGGCGACAGCCCAACAGTTAGAGGATCTCACGAATGTTGCGTTGTGCGCGAAGGTAAACTGATGCATTTGTGGTTACGTGGAGTGGAAAATCTAGATCCTTAAGTGGACGAAATTGAGTGAGTTGGAGCGCCGAGTGAAAAAATTGACAGCTTGCGGAGTCGCGGTAGTTAAGTAGTAAGCTCAATTAGTTCATCTCCGATTTGGAGGAGACGAAGGAGAATTTAGAATTAGAATTGTTAGTCGTTTTGAGTAGGATAAGAGTAGATATGAGCTCAACGTACGTGCTAACTGCCGGGACTGGTGGCGTCGCATCTTTTGGAGACTCGCATCTCAACGAGTGATGTCTTTGGATGTTAGTGAGGATAAAGAGGTACAAGACTCTGTCTTCGGGGAAGGCTTTTTTATTACATTATTTCTCAGTTTTCAGCCTGCATTCCTTTGCGCGTTAGTGAATTGTGCGTTTTGTCACCATGCGCGGGTTGCTTCAGTTAATTTCAGATACCGCATCTGATGTAGAGAGTCCAATTCAAATGTTCTAGTGGTGCATAGTGTAGCTCGGAATTTAAACAAATATGTACATTGGAAGCTCAGTGCAATCGGCTGAGTGTGTAATCTTGGGAAATTTCCCCCCAAAATATCTATTGCAGAGTCGCATGCGACTTCAGTAGAGACTTATTGGATGAATTTTAGGAATCGAATGTGATTTCACCATGCAATGTGATGACTTTGGACTAAGCAATTGCATATGTTTCAGGAAATGACATACGCATAAGAAGTAAAACTTCTCAATAGAATGTTAATTCGTGACACTACTTGGTTTTCTCGGGTTGAATCTATCCTCGTGTGATCGAATCTTTACCATCATGCTCCATTTTGATAACTGTCTGTCATTACACTTACATAGATCCACATTCATTGTCAAATTGGTGTAGAAGAGGTCACCTAGTCTTTTGAAGTCTTAAGAAATTTTTTATTCAAGAGGTTAGTGTTGCCGTTAGTAATATATGGAACCCAATTGTGAGATTTTGTTTGTAAGAAGACAGGTTGGGAACGCGTGAAGAGGCTGTAGAAGATCTTTTTACAAGAAGGATTTGGTTTACAAGAATAACTTGGTGTAAGATTCCAAACTCCATATGCTATTCTTCTGGAAGAAACATGTTATCTACCTCTAGAGCCTAAAGCTCCATACTTGACCATCACTTACATCATAAGGATGAGATCTCTTGATGCTACATGTTTCAATGGACGGTTAGCAGATGTGATAACTTGATGTTCCATCAAGTTATCACTTATGCTAACCATGTGACGGAACACGATGATCGAAACGACGATCGGAACCTGCCACCTATGGCACTTTGTGAATGCAAGAGTAGTTTTTCAACATTATTTGGGGCAAGAGAGTCATCCAGATGCAATATTATTAACCTCATGTAAATCCTATGCTTGTTTATTTTATTGCTTTATGTACTTAAGTCATATTATTGCTAGGCATAGATCTGGATCTCATACGCTTAGAATTGAGGAAATACATTGGTTTAATATTGATAATAGTGAACGTATTTGTACATTATGTGACGGTTAATATATTGAGAGTGAAGAGTATGTATTTGTTCCTTGTACTAGGTATGAAGAGATTAAGCTTGCTCATAATATATATATGTATATATGAAAGTTTTTTATTTGTTATAATAATTAATTTCTTTTGATTAGGTTGTTATATTAAAGACATCATTAGTTATTGTCATAGTGTTCTTGACACCAGCTAAGTATTGATCTTTGGAATCTTTTTTCTTGTTTGTGGTTTTTAGTCTTTTGATTCTTTGGGTACCTTGGACTTGATCTAGCCTTTTTTCCATTTATCATTGAATTAAAATTGTCAAAATAAATTACATTTAAGTAGAGTGCATTAAATTGTTTTAAAATTAATAATATGTTGTAATATGATGAAACACATCGGCATCATACTTCATTATTAAAGATACAAATTTTATTATAGGAAAATTGAACTAGTCAAAATTAAAATTAAAGACAATCTAGATTATGTAGTGATCAAAGTTATTATTTTGTAGACTCTTAGCAAACATTGTGTTAATTTGAAGGTTATAAATAGTTAAGAATTGATTTTTGTGATTTCTGTGTATGATTTTGATCTATCATGTTTGGTTTAGGATTTAATAATAGTTAGTTACTTCACATAAAACTCTATGTCAAATTACTTTCTAGAACTTTCTACAAAAGAATTATTTCAGATTGTTGTACTCAAGATATTAGCTAAGTCAGGTTTTGACTAACTCTAATAAGATTAACGTTGATTGATAAAGCTATTTAGTCTGACATTAGATAGCATAGAGCTGATCAAATCTCTTAGTGACACAAACTTAGGGTTTTTAAGTAAAAATCTGTATTCTGGTGAATCCATATATTTTTAATGTACTATTTTTAATGTATTTATATTTTTAATCCATATGAATCCATGTATTTTTGTTTGCATTTTTTTTTCTTTTTGCAAACATCTAACTAGATCTTCATCATAGCTATCTCGTTTTGTTCTCACTATTATTTTTTGGTCAAATAGATTTTACTTTATATTCATATGAGAAAATATACTTTTTTTCTTTGGAGTAAAAAGACATCTTTGTTTTCAGCCCTCCACTCTCTTTGTTTATCAAATTGAATTCTTTTTTCAATTCGTTTTTTTGCATCGCATATCGTAAAATCCACCTATATCGTTTAAATCATCAGTATTAACCGATGCTTCATTTTCATCTCACAGGCCGACTCATATGTATTGGCAAATATCGGCAACAGATGGAGACAAGAGATACAGGATTCCGGGATCTTCAGTCAGCTTGTGACCGCTCTCTCCGTGCACTGAGTCTCCTAGTGGCAGTGTATTACAACGGCAGTTCGAACTTGAGAATCGCCTGGAGACTCGCTGTATATGTCGTGCTTGGGTCCAGCTGAAGAGCTGCGGCAATTTCTCATGCGTCACTCGGTCTTGCGTCTGTAATCCCACCCGACTGTCGATTTGCATCGTTTGTGAAATTTAAGCGAGAATTACCGACATGGGGAGAGCTTCACCGAGTGAGAATGAGAGCGAGGAGGAGAGCGGGGAAGAGAGCCCGGTCTCGGAGGAGGAGAATGGGTTAAGTGGGAGCGAGGAGAACTCGGAGGATTCAGATTCCGACGCTGAGGTGTAGAGGAGATGCTTTTGGCCTTTCTAGTCCATTGATATGTGGAGTAATCACTGTCATTCTCGAGTAATCTTTCATGCCTATTGTGAGAAAATTAGGTTCTCACAGAGTGCTCATGCTATTGGATACAGGGAGGAATTCAAGAGCAAGTTGCAGATGTTCCGTTCGAGGATCTTCAAAAATTAAAATCCGATGGTCGAACTACTCTCTTTTCTCGAAGCAAGCAAAAGGTGGACACAAAGCGGGCTAACAAAAATAGGCACGAACACCGCTCATTCTCGTGTCGTTCACATCCTTTACATTTCCTAGATTGTAACCGGTCTAGTAATGATTTTTGACATCGTAGAACCTCATTTTTTCCATCTCGCTTTGTGAAAACTTTCAAATTCTAATCTGTACTGGTAGTCCAGTGTATTTACTTGTTGAAATTTTTACTTGTTTAAATTGTTACTTGTTTACTTGTTTCGAATTTTTGGAAGTTATGTTGGAAGAAGACAGGAAGAATGACTAATTTTAAGCAGGTGTCTGAAGCATTTTAATCAACTTTCTCAATTCGTTCATGCAGACCGATGGAAGTTACGAGCAAAAGACCTGTCGGAAGGTTCAGGGAAGTGATACAAGCACCAAAACGTGTAAGTACGAGTGAATTAGTCTTTGAGATCACCGGATCATGTAGTTGACATTTCTTTATGCGCTTTTTACTGTGTTTGAGTGTCAGTTATATCAGTGTATTGTTGAATCCTGTGACACAGGTCATTCGGGATCCACGTTTTGAGTCCCTTTGTGGCAACTTCGATGAAAGCAGGTTGGTGTGTGTTTTTATCTTCTGTTTCTAATTGACATGAAAGACGAGTTTTTTAAGTAGTTTCTTTGTTTCCTGCAAGCCTGAAAGCTCTGAATCACTTATACGTCGGATAATCATGAATCGATTCCGATCCGTCAGGGAGCAGGGTTCATTTTCTTTAGGCTATGACAGGACCAAGCCAGTAAGAACAGTTTCAGCTTTAATAGTCTCGACTCCTTTTGGAGAGTTATTTCAACGTTGTAATACATTTCAGGAATGTTTTTATCCCCCAGGTTCAAGACATCATACAGTTTTCTGTACGAAAATGAACTCCCAGCCGAACGTGAGGTACGAGCTTTTTTTGTGCAGTAGGCAGCCTGGTTTGTTTTTCGATACTTGCTCGATTTAGTTGCGTGACATATTCAAAATTATTCTACTGAAATCCTCCATTTTACAATTCTTCCGCAGAGGCTACGGGCTCTTATCAAGAAAGGAAAAGCAGATGAGGAAGCTAAGCGTCACATTGAGTGGATTGTAAGTTACTCTATTTCAATCTGAGCAATGCTTGGAATGGTATCCAGCTTGTCTTCACCACAATCTTCTTTAGCGAGGCAGACAGGCAGGATGAGTGGGGACCTCTCACCGTTAAAGCATTTCATGCTCTACACTGGTTGCAAGAAGGTAATAACGCATAGATTCTGACCTTGGTTGAACAGGACAAGCAACTGAAAGAAGAGGAACAGAGGAAGAAACAAGCATCCAAAGCATCAGAACAGAAAGCAGTAGTAAAGCAAGCCGTGAAGGAGGGAAAGAAGCCCTACTTCCCGAAAAAATGTACGATTTTACTCAGTAGCTTTCGTTGTTCTCGTTGATTCGTCTTTTCAGAACTTTTGGCCGCTGAGTCTTTTGTGCTGTACCACCTACTGATTTGTTCTGCCGTATTGCTCCTTGCAGCTGAGTTGAAAAAGCAAGAACTGGTCGAGAAGTACAAGGAGTTAAAGGTGATCTTGACAATCTATACTGTACTTCAGAGATTACTGTGTGTCTCTAGGTTGTTCCAGGCTTTTGTTTTCGCTGAATTTCCTTGCCACTTTTGTGTCCTCATATGAGCTATTTTGTGTTGCAGTCAAGTGGGAAGCTGGAGAAATTCATGGCCAAGCGTCGCAAGAAGAATGCTGCCAAGGATCACAGATTTGTGCCGTACAGGCGAAGTGTTAACCAATCTGAATAGTTAGTTTCACGGTCCATATCACCCAAGAAGATTCAAAGTCATTGTAGTCACTTAGACTTAGTCAATTAGATATGTAACAAGTTTAGTCAGAATCGCGGACGCAGTTATGATGAGGAGGGGGTGGAGGGGCGCGGAGATTTTCAATCTGTACATTACAGATGAAAATGAGACCAAGACGTAGGTAGAATCAGCATTTCAACAATTTTCCTGCATCCAGAGTGGATGACCGAAATGTTGTCATTTCTTTAGAACACCTGTTCGAATAATATTTAAAAAATCAAGCCTTTATCATCCACCGGGAGACCAGTGTTTGTTGTTAAACTTCCACCCTGTGGAGATCAATCCATATTTATCAAATCAAAGTTTCTGTTCACTTGACGTAATTATCAAAGTGGTTAGCGTGATTGCTCAGTTTTTATCCTCCTCTATCACGAAGAGAACATCAGGACTTCGTGATGGGAACATGATATTTCTCAGCACTCCTATCTGGTATCGAAGTTGCAGCTTACTGAATTTTTTTGAAGAATGGAACCGGAGATTTTCAGCTCAGAATACTTCTAGTGACTCTTAGGAATGACTAGACATCGGCATTAGCATGCAGTTGGCCAAGCAATGGAAACCCAGCAGAATACCAATGTGGATGCAGTACATTAGGGTCGTCCAAGATGGATGTTGTTGATCCAGTCAGGCCTCTTTACGGTCAGTCTCGTTTTGGGCGGTTTAGGGGGAGCAACGAACTGAATCCGCGCATGTGATTCGCTTCTCTCTCGCCTGGGTATAATCGGAGGTGAAGAGACTCTCCAAGGTGTCAGAATTGAATCCCAAGCTCTCATTTTCTCCACAGTTTCGACGGGGCTTCCTCTTTGCGCCTCCCAAGTCTGGTCATGTTGGTAGTTACCTAGGGAGTGAAGAGCGCGTAATCGTATTTTTTGTTGTTCCAGTGTCGGTTTGTCACGAAGCTGTACACGATCAGAGCCAAAATTTCAAAGTTCCTACGTCGACTGGGTTTCTCGCCGTGGCTAGATCACTAAAACAAGTATGCTGGCAGAAGGTTTGCCGAGGAACTATATAAATAACCTACAAACCCGTACAGCTGGAAATTCAGGACGTAGCTTTTATACATCAAGTGAGACCTCGGAAGTGAAACGAGGCATATATATGTAATATTCAACTGTAAAGAGGAGGATGCAAACCTTGGAACGAATTGCGCTGATTCCCTTGAGCTCTTCCTTGTAGTATCTTTGAAGCTGACTGTCGAGTGAAGCAATCTGGCCCCCTTCTAGCTTCGAGATGCTGAATGCTCTCTGCTGCTCTGTTCCAGTACTCAGATTTACTTGCTAGTGATTATCTACAGTAGTTGAAGGAAGGAGCGGTCCAGTGGACATCATCTTCCTGACCTCTGAAACACTCTAGTCACCTCTGAAACACACTCACATCGATCTCTAAGTTTGCGAAAGTTTGCGAAGCTCTTCTACAAAGAGAAAGAAGTAATTGTTAATCGGAGGTACTAATAGTCAAACCGTTATAAATTGCATCATCAGAAGGGGATATGCCTTCTATTGCCAAAGCTTGAGCGGAACGAGAAGCGAATGCTCTTTCTGCGAATTGGTTCCAAGGTACTTTGTGCATTCAGATTACCTGTGGAGTCAGGGACAGTCTCAGGTGCTGTTCCAGTCTTCTCCACTGGTGTCGTGGATTTTGTGAGGGATACACGCTTATCTCGATCTCCAGCCTCTTTGCCTTGCGATATTTTCTCCTCTAGCGCAGCCTTCTCTTCCGCAGTCATTGAGCTTCGACGCACAGATGCCCTTTCGTGAACTCCAAAAAGAACATTTTTCACGTCTTGGTCGATTCTCTCCATTACATATCCCTCAAGAGGCATGTCTGGGTCGAAATATGAAAAGCAGCCAAAATCATTGCAGTTACTAAGCCTGATTTAAACAACTTGACTTGGTCGAATCTCTCCAGTACATATCCCTCAAGAGACATGTCTAGGTCGAATAATGAAAAGCAGTCACATTCATTACCATTACTGAATCTGAATCCAAATACTTGACTGAAGAGTTTTGCTACGGTGGTCTGCTGAGAGACTCTAATCTGTACCTTCTCCCAAATGTTGTCGATAGCTTCCTCTTACCTTGATTCAAGTAGCCTTCTTGTTAAAACGCAGAGTCATAAAGAGGAATAAATCGTACTAGGAAAGCTTGAACTGACCTGCCTCCTGCTTCTTCAACCTGGCAGTTCTCCTAATTCTCTGCAATTTTCAACCCCACGCGATTCAGAATCTCATCACATGGGCAAAATCTAACAATTTTAAAAGGATTAAATCAATGCCCAAGATAACAGGAGAGTAGGTATTGTTCCAGAAGCTGCAGCCGACTATATTGGTGTCTATTCTTGATAAAAACTAAACTTTAGATTGGCAGGAAGGAAGAGATGAAACATGAGACACTCAGGGTTCTCTAATATGTACGCTATTGAGGCGAAACCACGAAAATGAGCTCACCTCCCTCGTCACTTGAGATAGTGTTTTCGGTCTCTTCTTCACCTGCAGATGGAAATGTATCAAGGTATGTTGGCTTAAATCAGCCCAGGTTCAACCTATCCATGGCCCCAATCCTCATCTGATGGATAAAAGCGAAAATGCAGAGATACTTCACAAGCACTCAGTCAATATATATAACAAGATTTCGTTCTTGCACAAAAGCAGTGACAAGTTCTTCTAAGCAGATGAAGAATGAGCGAGGAAAAGAATTGCCTGTCTCTTCTGCGCTTCGGCCTCAGCAATCGCAGCAATTCGTTCAGCCTCCATCTCCTCAGCTCTTGCTTGCAGTCTTTCTTGTGTACCCTTATCACCTCCCATAACTGCTTCCATTAACTAGCCATGGATTCAGTTTGTTAGAGCCCTTAATAAGGAGGTGAACGTTGGCAGATGACAGTTTACTCCCTACTTCTCATCCTGAACGTTATTCTGGAGACAGGATAATATATTGTATATATATTGAATAGTTCGTGAAGAGTGTGAAAATTGAGAGGGTAATGAAGGAATGATGTTACCTTCTTCCTGCGATATGCTTGAGCTAGAAGTGGGAAGGGAAGTGGCTGCGCTTTACCCGGTTGAGCATCTGCATTCAATTCCAACACTTTGGTGTTGACAACCAGACTTGCTCCAACGAAAAAGATTCTGATGACGACCAATTATCATACTTTGATGAAAGGTTGAGCGATGAGCACCACCAATGACAGATAACGGATCTACAAAATTTTCAATTCTCATCTTTTATTCTCACTCTTTGCTTCTTGCTCCTGGGACTGTGAGTCCATTTTTGTTGTCATAATCTGAACAAACTCAGCGTATTCAACCTGGCATATAACAAAAATCCGACTATCAGGTATGGAGCCTTAACGACGATGTACTTGTATGACGAGAACTAAGGTCTTATATATTGGGAGAGTTCTTCACGTTTTGATAGAGAACGTCGTTCGTTCGATCGTCTGTCGTTCGTTCATTGATGCATTTGCATCAATGAAGGAACGACAGCTTTTGATTAATTATCAATTTGTGATTGAAACTTAGTTCATCCCGCAGTATATTCCGTGCTTATATATTCATGCAGTGATGTACCTCGCCTGAACCGTCTGCGTCAACCTCAGCAAGCATTTCTTCTATCTCTGATCTCTTGGTCCGGAGGCCAAGAACTGTGAAAGCAGTCAACATCTCAGAGGCATCAATAGCTCCTGCAAGACCGAGTCATAGAGCAATTTTAAATTAGCTAATCAAAACTGGTTGCAATGTCAAGGTTGTCTAAATCGGTGTCTTGATTTGTGAAAGGGACATTTTTCAATGATTCCTTGTTTAGGTCAACATAGCAGCCTCGGATCGTTGTTTGAGATCAGATCAGGAGCAGCTGCAAGCATCTGAGCTGATAATTGTCAAGAACGGATGATGATACATGTGATGCTATTTCTGCTCTTTCAAGGGTTGTTCAACGTTACATCCTTATTACTGCAGAAACAGAATCCTCTGTTCAAAGATAATTATACCAAACTCGGGTGGTAGATAAAGAGATATTTAATTCTGCGATATCGGTAATTGCCTCGTTAAAATAACAAAAGAATTGCTGCGAATCTGCATTCCTAGAACGAAAGAGTTAGAATGATGAAGGAACCAGATCCATCAGCATCAATAAGCTCGAAACATTCTTTCAGTTCGAGTCGCTGCTTTTTTGTCAATTCTGGCCGAACAAATTTGCCATGCGCTCTCAGCCATTCTGCTATTGACAATCTGTTCATCACCACCTGGTCCGATAAAAAAGTCCATTCACCCAGTTGGACTGTTTTCAATAGAGGGTAAATCATGCAGTTTTGACATTTTCATACACTTTTGCACTATCAAGACCATTATGTTGCGCTCAAGAAAGCTTCAAACTCGAAGGGAGGACAAAGCATTGCAATCTGGTTTCATGAAAGGTTAGGCGTGCGGACCCATGGATTCACTCGAGGCAAAATCACTGCGTCTGGGTCAACGATCGACATTTTGTAGATCTGTCAATGATCGAGTGCTGGAGGTAGAAAATCTCCAAATAAGTTTTTCCCGGCTGCGAAGAGGTGAAAATGAAGTCACAATCTGAGAGACTGTTCATGAGATGTTCTCCAATCTCGCAATCGTGAATGAGGAGCTCTTAGAAAAAACTCGTTTATTTTGCCACCGACACCCCATTTTTCTTTCTAGCAGCATCTGCGATTCGACGCCGGGCAATTCCAATTATGTCTGCCTTTTTTCCAAACGACCTTCTAATCTCCAATCAAATTCTGAATTTGCGGGATGAGCTACTATAGACACGACTAGACATTGTTTCGTGGACCTCCAAACCAGAATGTAATAAGGTTTTGTCGCGAATGCTACTACTCGTCATAGTCGACAAAGATTCTATCATGAAACCTAACGGTCCTCATCTGGTCATGAAATATCGACGGCTATAAATTTATCCGATGATCCTTCCAAGCTGAGAGGCATACACGTACGTCAAAGCTTAATCTTCGAGGTTCTCGATCAAACTTTGAACCTTGTTGCTTGGCAGGTTAAACATACGCATGAATAGCTTGGTTGGGCAGATGTATTGATCTTTAAATGGTTGCGAGCACTCGTTTCAGCCTGGAGACATTTCTCACAACCAAGCGTTCCATTCCCTACTTGGAAGTAGGACATGCAGTAGATAGCGTAACTGACCAGAAGTTCATGTATGAACAGCTTCTACCGTTTATCATTCCTTCACTCCCCACACACCTCGGAACCAATCTGATATCCCTTCGTAAGGTGGGGTAATCACTACAGGAAGTATACAGAATGTCAATCTCCCAGCTTATAGTATCATTGTTTAATTTCTCTAACTTGGTGTGTGGACTTTAACTCATCCCAGCGATAGCTGGCCATGAGGTCTTTAAGTTTACACTTCAGTAGGAATGAAAGTTACCTTCATGGGACATGCTAGTGGCTGGGTTGGCCCTTCAGAGCTGCATGAACGCTACGATGATGAACCAGTATCCCGGTGGTGATTCTATTTACTATGTCTCTGTATCCTTACCTTTGACAACTCAATCTCCAATTTTCTGTCCTTTGGTGTGATGAATATTATGTTCGATATCTTCGACGACTCAGGGATAAATAGAGATCAATTTGTATCGAGAAGTTCAAATTCGTCTTTCTCTCAGCCCTGGTCGTTCAAAACATTAAATATGCAGCAAACACTCAAAAGCATGCCACTATATAGTCATCGTGGTGGCAGAAGCACTGAGCTTTCCATGCCAATCGGTGATCGCTGTCAAACCAACCAATTTCTTCAAGCCTGGAAAACCCTCAGTTCGGCAGTCCAACGCCAAGGATACGTAAGCAGAATGTGGAACAGCAAATCATCTTCTTTTATACTCGTCTGTTCGCCTTGTAAGTTGGCCCAAAGCAGGTGAGTGAAATCTCCGTACTTTCCCGTTAGGGCCCGAGACACTAATAAGTCTCGAGGGCCCTTAGAAAAAGGCTGAAGACATTTTCCGAAAGAGAAACATGACGCGCAAGTGAGGAAATCACTTGTGCGACTGTTCAAACCTATCATATATTGTTTAGAAAGGATTCTTCAGTATAACAATAATCGAAAACTCGGTACTCCATATAGACAGGAAACTCACTCACGCTTTTGTAAAGTACAAGGACAGTTTAACTTCTCTTCTTTGCGTCACTTTCCAAAAAGAAAGAGAAGGGCTCTACTGTGACACCGGTCTTAGTGTCAAGAACCGTTTGCTTCAGGTTCTGGGTAATTATCCACAGCAACTTTCAGAACTGGAAATGTGCTGCAGTACAAGAATGTCATTCGACATGCAATGACCTCAAGTTTTCTCATGATAACAAGGAATGATGTGGAAGGGAGGAGAAAATTTTGCTAGTGCATATGATCTTCATTTCACAAGGCACGTCTGTCTGAATAACTTCTCCATCAGTGAAAAGGAGAAATACATGGGTAACGAAGTTTCCGATGTTGCAGTACTAAATAGGCGGAACAAACGGTGTCGCTGGCTAAAGGCGAGGAAGCGTTGAAAAATGACCTTAGCACCGGAGTATGCGTAAGGCAAGCAAAACAACAATAGACAACGAGGAAGTATGCTTGACGGTGCCAGAAGAAGAAGGCCTCTAATTAGCTTACTCCTGCAATGTACAGCATGCAAAAAATGGGCTAAATCATGAACCCTTTCCAGCAGCCTGGAGACTCGGCCCGTACACGGTTTTACATCGGTCTTCGAAAGATACAACAAGACGTTGGGCAACTTCATTGAAAAACATATTAGCCACCTGCAAAATCAACGTGCAACTAAGTCTTAGCCCTTTCCTCACTGACAACGACTGTACAGAACTAGCTACAACCTCAAAGAATTAGTATTTTGTTCTTTCCAGTTCCAAAGCAACATGCAGAAGAGTTTGGACAGCATAATACATAAACACAAAATGTCGGAGACATGCAACGTAAGGGATAAAATTACCTTTGAGTATAAAGGAGAGCGAAACTGGAAGTCGACAAGAAAATGCAGATTGCATGAGTGGGGTGTTGGTCCAGGCTTGAACTCCCAGACGTTGATTAGGTAGTCAAACAAAGTACTTTGTGATACGGAGGTCTGCAACAATACAACAATTTCATCAGTCCCACTTCACAATTACATCCCGCATGCCGACCATTCCCCAACGATGCCCATTCTGGCAAATAACGAGTAGACTGAAACAGGGAAGAACGAGGCTAGTTCTGTACTTTCTTGTAAAGTCGAAGCAGAATCATGTTTCGGAAAACGAAACGTCTGGTTCTGGTCGAGTAGGTGAGTGGGGAAAGATCTTACAAGGTTCTGTAAAAGCTGTACGGACATAATATAAATCCTTTTCCACATATTTTATTATTACTCTTAAAAAAAAATTCTTTAGTCTTGACGTTTTACACTTGGTGCTTGACTGAGTACAGCTAAGTACAGATATTTCCACCTCCCAACACTTGAAGGCGCAGCATTGTAAGTCACAGCAGTGAATGACAAACGACTAGGAAAGTATATTGGCCAAGCTATGCGTCTAACTTTGTAACTATAACGCTTCTGGAAATGACTTTCCGCACATGAGCTTTGTCTGCATACAGGCTCAGAATCATCCAAAAAAATGTTGAACACTCGCACTATGCATGTTACAATACAAGTACAACACTTTAAACTCACTGATTGTGGGGTTTAGCAGGGTATGAAGATAACGCTAACCTTAATTAAGTGTGGTGGTTTTAGTTCAACATGAGAAATATAGCGCTCCAGAAAAAACTTGAATCCAATTTCAAGCTCTGCTTCCATAGCTTCATTAGGTTTATGCCAAATAATTGTTGATCTTTGACACCATGGAACAAAATCCTCGTATAAGTCAACAGCTGCTACAACAGCATACATCTGCTCTGGAGAATACCTGTTAAAAGTCAAGTACTTGAACTTCAGTACAGTGCCTTGTGAATCTGGTATGAACAAAATTCATATATATGCAGACTCCAGATCCTCAACACCTAAAACCCAAAACAAGCTTGAACGGGAATCTGAGTATGAAAACAGACCCGATAAGGCGAGTTTCTTCGTGATGCCGTGATCTGTCGTTCTCTTCATCTCCATCACCAACACTCAAAAAACCCCTCCTCTGTTGAGATGCACCGAGGGCCGCATCCCTTTGCCAAAACTCCTGCAGTTTTTCTACGGAATGTGTATCAATTCCACCTCCTGATGACCCAAAAGTACTGCTCTGACGAAGAAAACTTTCTTCCAATCTCCGTGGCAGCTTGGCAACATTTTCACAAGTGATGGAAGGCTGAGTGATGACGGGAGATGGCCGGTGGGTCGATAAGTACCTGGCTACAGACCTCATTATCTGACCGGATGGCCGCATTGCAACCAGCTAACTAACTCCCTAAGCATAAACTATATGTACTCCTGTACGAAATCAACGATCAGAACCCCACCAAAAAATCACCACAGTTGCTGTCTGCCCGAAGCCGGACGTTATAAACCTAGAATTGGTCCAATGCCATCAATTTCAGAATCGAATTCCACTGTCCTTCTCAAGTTCTAAAGCAACCAAACCTCCATCCCTTGACCTGTCCTCTCATAATCCTCCACTTCCTGTATAATACTGTAGCAAGATTTTCCGATGCCTTCAAACTCTGGACACTTGTCGCAATTCTCCAGATACTCACTCTCGCACCGGAGGAAGCTTCCGAAATTACAACAATACACGATTACTTCCCTCGAATTCTGCCTTCCTGGCTTATGGCCAGGGATCCTCGCATCGAATGCGATCGCCCAAGCATCGTTAACTCATCCGGAGCTGAATCGAGCCAGAGTTCAATCTAAAGAGGCGAGGCATAACTCTTCCGAGAACATCGAATCTATGTTGGTTTGAAGGCTGATGATGTCCTCAAGAGAGAGGGCGATTGAGCGAGTCGCTTGGCGAACAGGCCAATCACGCGACCTCAATGTCCATGACAGTGCCTTCCTCTCTGCTTAGGGCTTTGTCTGACCTTTTGGGCCCTCTAACACGTGTCAAGATTTCCAGGGTGAGAGCGGCCATGCCACATGGTACATTCTCGGGTGACCAAAAGAGGATGCTTGCGATCCACGCCGTACATTCTCTGAATTCCTCGTAGTTCATGCAAGGTGCCATAGGCCCACGGAAACGTGTTTCATTGGTCACGTGGATGCAATGTTCAAACCTCCATCGGTAAAACCGGTCCCTTCCGTCGACGTAGAAGTGGAACTTGAGGAACGCTGTACGGCTTCCGGGAATTTGCCAGCTGTTTATCTTTTCCGCACAATCATTGTTGTACCACGTAAGAAACTATACACCAGACCCCTCAAACTGTTCGCTGATAAAAGATATGTTGTATTTGAAAGGGAAATCACCTATGCAGTATCACACACTAGAAAACATGGCGTGTGAATATCCAAAGCTGCAAAGTTTTCTCTACACTATGATATGTAGTGTTAGAGAAAACACTACATAAGTTAGTTTTGATAAATAGAGGGAGCTTCAATTTCTCCCTCGGTTTATATTAATTATCACTCACCCGGCTATACTCTGCAGAAACAAAAATACTTTGGATACCATGCAAGGATTGGAGAGTTATATAGTTTTGGGAGTAAACATAAAGAGGTAGAATCGGAAGTAGTGCACAACATGGAATCATAGGACAGGAAGAGGGAGAATAGGAAGTAATGCACAACATGGAATCATATGGCAAAAAGAGGGAGAATCGGAAGTAGTGCACAACATGAAATCATATGGCAGCAAGATTGGACGGTAGATATAGTTTTCACGGTGATAGAGGAATGGAGTAGAATAAGAACTAGCGCGCAGCATGGTATCATATGGTAGTGAAATTAAACATGGGATGTATCCCATGTTTAATCCCCGCAAAAAATATAGCTTTTGCGGGGATAGGGGAAAGCTAGAGAATTGGAAGTATTGCAGAGCATGGGAGCATATGATAGTGACAATAGTGCACTTTGATTCTCGACATGGAGGAATTCATTCGATTGAGTGTGAGGTAGGATCAAAATTGACTGGATTGCAATCAAAACGCAGTGTCGTATTACATGTCCAATCAACTGAATTTAGCTTAAGTGTGAAACTACTTTTGCGTTAAAATGAACCGAAGGATGGTGATGTGTTATAATACTCGATGGAAGTTCAATACACATCTCAACTCACACTCATAATACAACCTATGCAGATACATGGTTCTAGCTTGCTTCACCGGCAGAAGTTTTCCACACAATATTGAACGCTGAGCTATTGGCAACGTAAGCTTACGCGTTGAGTTAGAGCTTTGCCGTTTTTATGAAGCGCAAACACAAGGGTTGATAACAAGAAAGATAGAACTATTAAGTGACTTCATCTTGTGTGTTTCCATTTGAACAAACCGATTGTACACGAAGTTACTCTCTAACACAACACATCCAGTCGTAGCATTGGCTGTGAATTCAAAGCAAAGATCAATAGCATAATATTCGGCAAAGAAAAAAAACAAGCCCAACTTGTATGGGAGATACAAATCCAATCTGTCTTGTAAGATAGTATATTGTATGTATGAAATAGTACTAGAAGTAGCCAATGAGTTAATCATGGTTAGCTTAACTATGACTACATTTAACTAGTTATGACTAAATCTAACTAATTATAATTAAGTTTATCAGATTATGACTATGTTTAGCTATAACGTTTAAACTTGATGATATAACTAAGAAAGTTCTAGAAGATTTGAATGATCACTTCTATTTTGTCTTGTTCAAAAGTATTGATTCCGATAGACAGAGCTTTTGACTACATAATGAGTTTGATTGAGTAATATAAACTTTATTGGATAGACTAAGTCCAATGTTGACTTAATGACAAGTGGAGTTACTAGAAGTTGGAAATATTCGAATGGCATGTCGCCATCTCAACCTTATGATTAGTAAACTTCTAAAAGGTTTAGGAGTCCAATTGCATGATTCCAAGTATTGGGTACTAGTCAAACTTATTATGGTTGATCTTTGTGAAATTAAATTAGATAAAAATTACCATTTATTACCATGATAACTTCTCAAGTAGTATATATAGAGAATTAATAAAAAAAACTTTCAGCCAAACAAAAGTTCAAGTTGCAAGCTTGAGGTGTTCATATGTAGAGACTTGTTTCATCGCTGAAAGAGTGATGTTTTTAGCAACTTAGAGTGTCAATCTGTGTGTGAACATGAGTGATTATTGGGAAAAATGTGTGAAATGATACTTGGAAAATGACCATGAGGAAGAAATCTAGTCTTCTAGAACCATGATGAGCTATCGCAAAGCCATCTGAGATAAACTTTAGTGATAGTTAGTCTGAAAGTTGCAATCCAACATAACCACAACTTCCTTGCTCATCTCACTGCCCATCTGCAAGTACGCGTTCTAGAAGATCAACTACGGACAAAGCTTACTCTCAATTATGTTACGGCCATTAGAATTGTTACAACACTACGGCAGAATGAAGCGATACTTGCAACGAAAAATAACATATGGATCTTACGCAAAAGGAACGCCTTCGGATACTTGCAGGCTGGTATGCGCATTCTGCGTTATTTGACAATTTGGCCACTATTGGAAGCACGCAATATTTTACCCAAGTGAACAATGAGAAGAAACTCATTCACATGTTGATCATATCGCCATTAGCAAAGGTGATTTGCAATAAATATGTTGTTGATCATGTCTTTTTACTTGATGCAACCTACAAAACCAACAATTATGACTATATCTTGCTGCATACTACCAAAAATATTTTTATCGTTGCCTATTGCTTTTTGAGGCGGTAGAAGGATGAGGACTACGTGTTGGCTTTCAGCAAGATTAAAACGGTTTACAACAATTTCTATGTTTCTCCTTAATGCAATTTTTGTTGTATTAGCCCTACTTTTCTTATTTGTACAGATTTTTCGATGTGTTTTTACTCAGTAAGAAGCATTACTGACATTTTTCCATCTTGTGTGTGGAAGATCCGCTTTCTAGGTTGAAAAAATGGCTAAGTTTCTCCGCATATGATCATCAGTCAATGAATACTACGCTACAACTTGCATGCGACGGCCAACTTGCGATAATTATATAGAAAAACTCGCCATCGCGGAGATGCAACTTGGATCTATGTTTCGCGATGTTCTTAGCAAAATTTCAGTTTAAGTACTGAAACAAGCGTACAAGCAAAATGATCTCAACTGTCCTTCACCAACTGAGTAACATGAATATCAGCGCATTTTTTTCAACAACAATGGACATTTTTTATAAGCATTTATTATATGATCGTACGTTGACTTTGTTGATAGACGAGTTTGATCATTACTGGTGGCTGGTGCGGCCTGCACGTGTTTCACACTTTGAGGCAACGCCAACTCTAGATGATGCGTTGCGGACGATACTTGATGAATATGACCGCGCAGCTCCACACCGCCATCGTGTGTTGTTTGATCATGTTAAAGCAATACTTGCGGTTGAGATACAATAGCATGCAAACACACCAACCTGCGACCGACGGACTGGTTCAATATGCAGGCTGCCTTCTGAGTTTAAGCATGATGAAGATCAAAAACGATAATAACAACGGTGTGGTTGTTGCGAGCAATTGGGATATAATGTTAGATCCTGCAACACTGAACAATATGTAATTCAAGTTTTTGCTTGTTTTGATGTTGCCGTTGTTCCTATTTCTAGTATTTCTTCGCCAACGCACAAAGAAGTTACTATTTTAGACATAGTAGCCTACATAACTACGGAGCATCGGCATATCTAATAATAAATATAGTTGGACTCTATTCTTTTTTGCTTACCAATCACACACCTCTTTTTATAGGAAATAATAGGGTGAGGAATTATTAACATAAACTGAGAAATAATTCAATAAAATTCAACAACTGAATATTTTGGATGTATTTAAGTTATGCACAAGATGCTTTTAGAATATTCTTGAGTGCGTTCGTTCCACCATGATCTCTCACTCTTCTTGTGGCAGATGCAATGACCTATCTGTATGAGGTAGTAGTTGATCTTACGCCAACGAAACCAAAAGATTAATCGTAAATATCGGAACGGAACTCAAATATCATTGCACTGGCTGATTAGATATGTATATATCGCGTGGTTCAAGTTAAACAAGTGAACATTAATTTATTTAATGTGTTGCAGTTTTTGGTGTTCAAATGTGTATTTTACAAGTTGACGATCATATGACAAATTCACCAATAAATTATTGAGTGAATCATATAGATCAAGATGTATCACAACCATATACTTACATATAACCATCTAATCAATTCACTAGTTGAAATTACATTGATCTTAATGTAAGTGAAGATTTGAGTTAACTACTAACAAATTTAATATAAAAAGTTTAAAATTGAAATGTTCACATAGTTAAATTGCAATTGCATATATCTTTTGAATACCAAAGCATTGACTTTAGAATTTAATCAAAAAGTAGATGCACAAATTCAAGTTTGATGTATGTAGTATGTTAATCAAAAGATGAAATTAATGAAAATTAACTATGAAAATTTTATCTAATTAGAGAGTAAAATACTCATTCATGACAAAAATTTAAATTGAAAAATATTTGCAATGTTTGATAGTCAACATGCTAAAATAATCAGAAATTTCATCGCATGACAAAAATATTTTAGTAATAGATTTGAGGATGTTTGAGCTAAACTCTTGGTTCTTATTGATCACTATCCAAAATCACCGGACTTCACTAACTATGTTTTCCGTTGCATCGATGATAGAAAGCACTACAGTCATTGATACTGGGCACAATTCATAATTATATTAGGTGCAATATAATCGCTTTTCTGACGGTAAATGCTATTGTATAAGTATGATTTAAATGATTTTGAATACTCCTCCAATGTATTTAAATCTTAGCACAACACATGTATGTCATAATTTAGGGATTATCCACCTGATAAGAACTATGATCATAGACAAAGAGACGTTGGTAAGTATAATAGATATAAATATATTAGAGCAGGAAGTGAGAATGTCATATAGAGTATGAGAAAACTGTGAATCATGACCTGACAATAGGTCCGATGAACTTCTTCCATAAGTTTTGACCACGGGGCAGATCAGATAAAGGGAAGACTAGGTCAGTTAAAGAAGTGTGACTGGTGTGCAGGTCACTCCCACGAAGCTCATACAATCTGCCAATTGCAGGAACTTTGAATATATGGAAAGATATTTTTTGGGATATGTAGTGGGGGAGTGGTTTTCTCCCTGAAGATTGAGTGCCTCATCTAGAACTGTCAGTTAATGAGATAATACAATAGTGAAATTATTTCCTGAGCGGAGATGCAAAACGCGGTATGTTTTTGTTCCTGAAGCTAGAGTTTGAAGTATCTGTGTTGGGACAGTAGCTTGGAGCAGAAAGGAGATATTGTGATTCATTTGATGAAACAAAAACAGCTCCAGTAGATGATTATACACGCTGTAGGGCTATACATGGGTAGCCTGATTTCCGTACGACATTCAACAGAATATTCTGATTCTATGAAGTTCTTCAGAGAATCCGAGGGTTTGAGTTCATTCACTTCAAAATGTGCTACAGCAAGACGGCGGCTGCCGTAATAATGGTAGTAATTTTCTTGAGAGGTATGGATGCAAATCTGGCAGGCGGAGACTGTTCGACAGACTTGCTTGGGCGGAAACACACCGTCCTGCAGAAGCTGCAAGTCATTGGCCTTACAATGGGAAGACAGTGTACAGTGTGACTACTGTACACTGTACTGACTAGCTGCTACTGACGTGAACAGCTTAACCTAGAAGAGCCTCTCAGAGTTTCCCTCCATTGGCACAGTCTCGTAGAATGCCGTGTACAGCTTCCGACGCCTCCGATGCCACGAAAGCACCAGCAGTATTTCTCCCTTTCAGGACATGGTCCTCGTTGAAGGTTGAATGGGCCCAGTGGCCTAATCTTGACCTGGCCCACCAGATGGAAAAGACTTGTGATTGGGGAATAGTTACAGCCCGTGAACCCTACTCCAGCTTCAAGGATGCTGCCCCCGTGCCCCAGCCCCGAGCTGCATGGCAGACCTTCGAAATTGCAAAAACCTTCCTGCTCGATGTCTGTATGGCCACAGTAAAAACTGAAACACGTGTAACGTGTATTGTAGACTACAAGTCGTGCTCTTTGGTCTACGCTTAACCGTGCTACTGCTGAGAACTTGACACACATGTCCCAGTGGATCAGGTTGCTTAGAGAGATGGTATGCGACATACCTTCAACCTGTTTTCCCTCTGACCAAGTGGCACGTTATAAATTACATCGTTAAGCGACAAGATCAACCGTCACAACAAGCAAGACTAGTTGGCTGTAGATATTCCTGGCCACATTAAGATGTTCAAGTATCCTCGAGGTCCGGTACTCATCAACAAAATTGAGTATGAAAGCCAATAATCCGAATGATTTATACATTTCTAAAAAGAATTGACTGATGTCATGGCGGCCAGATAGTGCACCAAAGATATGGCAGCATCCGTGTAAGGAAATAAGAACTGATCGAGCATCACACGTTTACAGCAAATTTATGCAGTTTCGAATGACCTCTTCTCATAATCAGCACCAAACCTTCTTGCCCAAGGAAATTTGCCAAGCATAGGAGGAGTAACTGTACAAAAGGGAACTGGTTGCAGAGAAGCCCTCAGTCTAGAAGATATTGTACACTTGTGGATATTGCAATGTAATTTACTCTCTCGTTCATCTTCAGATCGTCTTCCTGCTGCAAGAACTATCTACACTTACAGGAAACTAATTGCTGGAAGATGGGTTGGGGATTTTTCAGATGCACTCAGTTTCTGTTACACAAACTTTCTGCTGCTGCACTACCAATTCGTTGCCGCCAAACATCCGTCGTGGTGTTGCGATGGAGTCCACGGAAAATATGTACAGGTGAAGTTCAATGTCGTTGAGATCAAATACTGGGGTTAATGTGAGATGAGTAATCTGTCGTTCCAGCACCTTCCCAGCCCATCCACTCTTCCCATTCGTCCCAAGAATCATCTCCTACTCCGTAGAAGCCCTCGGGATTGTCATCGACGCTGTCGTCTACTTGGGGAGGAGGTGCGGAAATATAATTCATAACTTTCTGGATGACAAAAGTAAAGATAACTATCAGAACACAAGAACCATTTAATTTACATGAAACGGCATGATCTTCAAGTACAGAATTAATATGAATAGAAATGTTTCTGGATTATTTGTCCTCTTACCTCATAAGCTATATTGATCTGTGTGAACATCAAGGCGCAATGATCTCCTCGACATACATCAGGATGGTACTGCACAGATGAAAGACGGGAACCTCTGGTAAGTGCTTGAAGGATGCATATAACAACTGAGATCACAATCACTACCGATCAGAGAAAACTTCGTTAACAACATTGGTCGATAATTTGACCCACACTCTGCAAGACAATTACCTGAAGAGCAAGCCGCCGGTATACGTGCTTGACTTCACTTTTCGAAGCGTATTCGTCCACACCCAAAGTAGAGAAAGGATCTGCTGTCGGTGAAGTTGGTGCTTCAGTCAAATTTCGAGAAGCACAAACTTCCACAGAAGGCTTATCCGATTCAACACCCTGGGACCTCTTCTTCACTCTTAATGAGCGTCGCAGAGGGTCATTCGAGAATGTACTTCGGCAGGATGAACTTAAACCGAAACCTGTGGGAGGGCTGGATGCTAGCGGACTCCCACATCCGAGAATCACATGAGCCATGATTGCTGTCTTCTGAGTAACCGAAGCCTCACGACGAGCCTTTCTATGTGGGAAGAGAAGGAGGTCACAAAGCGTGAGTGGAGGAGTATCGTCAAGTAATGATCTAATCCAACCTTCAAGAGAATTCCTCCTGTCTCAAAAAAGCGTCTACCCTCAGAAATGTAATCAAGCAACAGCACCGGATTCAAGTAACTAGTATCTTCGGAACAATCTCTCCACCTTTGCAAGCGCCACTCGGAGAACTCGAACAGAACAGAACGTTATCAATTGACTCTCTCTCGTTCAGCTTTTCTTAACTTCTCAGGAACTCTTCCCTTCTGACCTTCTTCTTCTTCCTAGATCTGCAATCCACACCACCACCACCGGGCTCCTAACACCGCTTCACGTAACTTCACATCACAAGGCTTTGAGGCGACTGCGGTTCCATGCTTCTTATGAGCCCTTCGTCGCCACAAAAGACAAGAGCAGGAACAGATGTGGACCCGGGCACTTCACTTTTGGACAGACTCTCTCGCAAGTCTCACGTCACTCTCTCCTCCAAAGAGGTGGGGGCGCATAGCATAACTCTTTTTCTTCCTCTTCTTATCCACAATCAAATAGCGTACGTTCTACTGCTAATCGTATTAACTACGGGTAACTCCATTCGCATCCCAGACTAGGCCCTTGGCGCCGCCGGGGTCGCACGACTTTTGGCTACCCATAAGCCAATCGGAGTAAGCAGTGGCTCGGACCCGGGTATTGGCTGGATCTAGTGACCCCACCACGCGCTTGATCCACGTCGTGAAGTTTCACGACGACGAACGGGCGTCGCGATTAACGCGTTCAGGGAACCTGTTGTGTAGACTGTTGGCTATGGTGACAGAATGCCCGAGTACCGAGGGAAAGTTCAGTCACAGAAAGTGCAAGCTGTTATCTTTTCGAGTCATCAGCTCTCGAAGCTGACTCACTTGAGGCCCCCACATCACAAGAAAATGTGTGCTCGATGGAGTTCTACTTACCATTCTTCATCGGACTTGGGCGAATTCCCATCATGTGAAAGTGGTCGCATACATACTCGGAGCTACCACAACGACGTCCACTGAAGCTGGACCAAAACTTTCCCGGCCTTTAGCCTGTACATGTTTTGGTCACTTTCCCTTTTCCCGATGAGAACCGAAGCAATCAGGGAAGTAAATACGACGGCATGACAATATACTCCCGAGCACCCGCAAAGAAAAGATCTGCGGGATAAAGAATTGTGTATATTAATCGACCATCTTGGAGATCAAGCGGGGGCTTTCTAGTGAGCCAACGAGGCTTACTCCTCGCTAGTGCCTCCTCATTGGAGAGATCGACTAGATCTTAAAGTTGAAAAAGACCTTTGCTGTCGAGGTCTGACACTGACTCAATTCAACGAGCCCACTAGCAATATATTGTATCTTCTTATTATAATGCTGTATGAGTTCTTCCCATCGTTTTTGTTATTTTACTCTGTACTCTTCACTGCAGTACTTTTTCCTTAATTGACGCTCCACTGTCCCACCCAATTGTTCACCTCTGCTTCCGCACAAGCTTTGAACCTTCACGTTACCTACCAGTGTATTGAGCCAGTTGTTCAGAATGGTGCAGGTATGTGAATAATTACCTGGCATTTCTTCCCCCCTGAGTCTGGGTGATGGATCTAATTCAAGCAAAAGTGCATGCTTCCTACGTTAAATTATCTGTCGTTCTTGTCCTCGCTTCTCTGAGAAAGGGAACTGGATCCGGATTATATACAGATTTGTTCCTGGACAAATCTGTTGTCAATTTACCCTAATGATTCTTCAAGAAAATCTCCAATGCAATCCTTGCAAAATATCTCCTCTCCTACGAGTAGCTTCAAACTTTTCGCCTTGAACACGGAAAACTTCTTACAACAATCTGAAACAACCCTTCAAATTATCTTTCATCTTCATCTCTCTACTTCTGCACCAAACTTCAAACAATGCACCAGTAATTTGCAAGACGTGTGAAAATTGGTAACAATTCATCCAATGGTAGACGAAAAACAGGAGTAACCGTTTCTTCTCTTACGCGGTGATAAAAATGCTCCATGATCAGAAAGATAAAGATCAAACTAAGAAATATCTTTGCCTTGCAGACCGGGACGACAGTGCCTAAATAGGCAACTATTCCACTTTGTGCGACCAATCCATTCTCAGTCATACAGGCCTCGGTAGACTAAAAGACAATGAGTCTTCATCATTCCAAAAATAGGAGATCAAGAATAAAATCAAAGCGTGAAAGGCAGTCAGTTCTAGAGAAGAGACATGCTTGTCAAAGTGATTTCCTTGGGAGAAGGAATAGTCCTGGAAAAAAACTACTAACCGACCCAAAAGCTCATTATGATGGAAAAAAGTGAAGACAACAGCAACGTTGCTCGTGCTACCCTATAGAGAGAAAAAAGAATAAAGGGAAGGACACATGTAAGAGAAAAACTGGAGACAAGCCTATATGGAGGCATATTGAGCACAACCTTGGGGAGTGCACAACTTCTAAAGTTGCCGACGGATGAAAGCTTCATGCATTGCTTTAAAAAGTTCTTAGCCCGTATTTGGTGGATCCCACAAGTCGATAGGGTATTCCACTTAGAGCCAATAAGTTTCATCTCCTTGAACTAATTTCATTATTATTGATTTTTTCCCTAAAGCAAGTGAAGCATCAACTGGAGTAGATACTATATGTTGATTGATATTCTTTTCTCCTTATGGAACCCCCCGCTTACTAAAAAGATTTGTCATCACTTATCTCTTTTAGAGCTGATTTTTAACAAATAATTGATCCAGTTTTTTCACGAGATTTTTGAAAGTTGTAACACACACTCTATTACCCAAGTGAGGTTCGGCTTCTTACAACGGAAACATACATGGTGATATTATACATGTTTCTTTTGAGGGTAGATCTTATTCTACATAGTTAGATAAATTCGTTGCTATGTAAATTTGAAATACTTTAAAAAAATACATATGTCCACATTATTTATCTTCATAAAACATGATCGATTCTTCAATAGTAATTTTTGCATTATTTAAAAGAGATATATATTGTTGAGAGCCCATATTGCTGAGAGTTGTTTATTTGAAACGGTTTTTCTTGCAATTGTACATCAAGTAATTTCAAATAATAGTTAACACATATCCATATGTTGAAAATTTATTGAATATGATGGATCTTTGGATAATATCGTCTTTTCCTATAGCTTTTTGGGAATCTTTGTCTACCATATCAGCTTTATTTTTCACATAATGCTGTAATTTTTTTGAAATGCATCTATGAAAGATTTTCCAAGATTCTATGGAAGTTATTATTTACTTACTTACTCATTTTAGAAATCTTGTGTTTGGTATGCAAAGTTTTCTAATCTCTTTCTTAGATGATGATAAACACATTCTATGTACACATATCACAATGTGCAATCCAGTGATTAGAGCTTTTTCTGTCTTGACTTTACAATCATTGTGTGTCAAAGTATATGATATATTGTTGTTTACTTTATACTTTTCATCTCTAGCTTTTGCAAGAATGTGTGATATTAAGAAATGGTTGACACATTTGAAGTGTTGTAGTTATCAAAAAATTTGTCTCTTCTTATCTATAAACATAAATCTTGCCAAAGACATTATCCATCTAGAAGTAGATTGATACTATGAAAGTCACATGTGACTTTGTATATAACCTTACCCAATAGTTTTGATTGATCCAATGTTGATTCTTATTTTATTTCAATCTTCAGATATCATGCTTGACATCTAGTTGGGGAGGAAGATCGATTTTACTACATTGATCATCATTGCATATATTTTAAAATGAAAGTTTGAATTCATAACCTGAAATCACATCTCGTATATTTTGTAGATATTCTATAGATTGGAGTAGAAGAATAATGTCTATTATCATGGATCAAAATTTGTCATGCTCTATTTATGGATTTGGTAATTATTTTAAATACGAAATATATTCCTGAATACATATATATGTAATTAGGCTTGATTGTGCCTCTCAACACTCTTTGACTTGGACTATTTTAGCTTATTCTATAGAATGAATTTGATATCTTATGATCTACCATCATTTTTTCTCTTCACATGTGCGTATAATATTTTATCTTGGATGCAAAGAGGTTCGCATGCTCCTTCTTTAATCAGTTTAGAAGACATAATACACATATCGGTGATGCGAATAAAAATGTAATACTTTTAATGACATAAATTGAAAATTTGGATTATCGGCTATTCTACTTGAGGGTGTCATATTAATGTTGCATACCTTGCTGTCACATATGCTACGAGTGGCAAAACTATTTTAGATTTAAGAATATACTTAACTCTAATTGTGATCGTAATATGTCCTAACCCCATCATAACTATTTGGATGCTTTAAGTGGTATGTATTCTGCCTATTGATTACTTTGTTTATTAGTTCTAGTGATACACATTTGACATTGTGATGCTATTTAACCCTAGCCACATCATACCGCCCTGGCTTCATCCTTGACCTTATGTGCAACTCCTGTCCTCATTCCTGCATGACTCGCCCATCTTTCCAAAACAAATCTAGAGCAAATCTTAACAACATTCAAGGTAAGGCTTTTGGATCCTAAACAGAGACAATAGATACTCCCTCTCTCGCATGAAGACCATAGGACAGGTAGAATGATTGAGAGATTGACTTGGGGCAAGTCACTTTCTCCGTCGGATGTAATTCGTCTGTCGGCTGTCAAACACCTAAAAACGCTCACTATCAAACAAGTTACAAACTTGGACTGTGGCAGTAATTCCCTTTATCCAAATTGAGAAATTCCCGCAGAAATAGTAGTGGACTTTGGGGTGCTGACTGCTGCCCTGTACCAATAAGATCCGGTTCGGGTTCGAAAAAGGCTGCAATGGCTGATTTTTCTCCAACGCTCCAGATGAAGATCCTGTGTAGCAAGTGGAGTGGCAATACCTCAGAGAGTCGCAGCCACCATGAGGCGTCGCGCCGCGCCGTTTGAAGAGAATATACACCACATTGCAGTGCGCCGCGTCGTGATCGTCGGTGATGCAACCTACAAGTTCAACGACTGCGATCTCCGACAACGGCCGATGACACGCGAGTCTCGTATAGCGCAGACTACGACAAGTTTGGCCTGGGGTCAATTAAGTCAGTTTAGGGCGTAGCATCATGAAACGTGAGAGTATGAGAAACATAAAGGAAATATGCTTTGACACGAAATCGGCATCCGGATCCTACGAGGAGTCAAGTAAGCACAAGATAAGATCGATGTGTCACGTCTGTTCACGTAACGGCCCTCTTCTGGAGGTCCTAGTCATTTCTGGTGGTTTTCCTTTCACCTGGCGGGCAGTCAGAGAATTTGTGTCCCTTTCCTCGCGGTCAGCCA